ATGGCTCTCTCGAGGACGAGTATTGTCTCGGTTTTATGAACTCAGAGAAGAACTGCTGAATTTCTTTACAAACAACAAGTTTGAATTTGTCGAATTTCTGAACGACGAAAGTTGGTGTTCAAAGTTGGCCTACCTATCTGACATCTTTCAGCACCTGAATAATTTGAATACGAGTATGCAAGGAGTAAAAGAGAATATTCTGACTTCAGTGGATAAAATTAATGCGTTCAAACGGAAACTGATTATTTGGAAGAAGCATGCTTCGCGAGGCAACTGTGAAATGTTTTCCACTTTAGTTCAAAGAAGAAATTTAGTTAGCATTTTGCCACTGATAACCAACCATTTGGAATCTTTAACTAAAGGATTAGATAAATATTTTCCATCTATATACCTTGAAGAATATGATTGGATTAGAAATCCATTTGTTGAATCTCTGAATGTGGATTTCAGTTTGACGGATGAAGAAGAGTTGGCAGGAATTTCAAATGACCGGACACTTAGAATGAAGCACAATTAACTTAATCTGGACTCATTTTGGATTTTAACTGCAAAAGAATACCCATCGATCTCAAATAAGGTTCTGCGTGTTCTTCTGCAGTTTTCTTACTTTTGATAGTCGTCATGGTTGAGAATCCTAATTCGCACAAGTATGATGTTGAAAAGAGAAAAATTACTAACACTTGAAGAAGAACTGCGTGTATGTCTCTCCAAAACTAGGCCAAACTTTCCAGTTCTGCTCAGAAATCATCAAGCACAAATATCACATTAATTTGTATACTTTTTACATAAACAATAAATTTTGAAAATATTGCGGCTTTTTTTGTAAATAAATGCATGTACATTTTTTGTAAACCTTGTATTTTATTTATTAAAACTTTCCTTATATACATAGGGATCCGCAAGAAAATTTGAGCCTCTCAGGGGATCCGCGCTTCCAAAAAGGTTGAAAACCACTGCAGTCTAGACAATCATACGTGCGTTCCACGTGATCCGGCGCATACACTTCAACGACTCGACGCGTCAATACAAACAGGATAACTCTACTTCTTCTCTTATCCTTCGACTCTCCTTCTCAACTTGACAGCTTTTCCACACGCTTTGAGGCAACTCA